AGGTCACTGATTGCAGTAGTATGTAACAAGCTGGCCTACACAAATTATTTTGATAAAGACAGGGCCGAGAGAGTCTGCTCCTTATCTAAGCCAATGCTAGGTGGCTTCTAAAACACCCTCGCATCCCCATAGCACAGGCACCGAATAATCGCCAATTACATGCAGCTGCCACCAGTTGCCAATTACATGCAGCTGCAGCGAGCAACATATTTCTCGGGTATACCACTCAACAACTCCTCATAGCTATGCTGCTTCACTGGTCCACCCTCCGTTTAAGGTACTGCTCAACAGAATGGGAGACTAAAGGTGACAGGATCTCCTTTCGAGCTGGTGTCATCAGAGTCTGCAGGTGCGAATATACATTGTTCCCTATGCTTCCCAATCCTGTGGATTATATGTATTTTCTCTTGCTGGAATGTAAAAGTTTTGGTGCAGTAGTGCCAAATAAACAAGAAAGATTTAACATACATCGATGCTGCTCCTGTTGTGGTCTTATATGTGCTTATATATTGTGCCACACAAATTAATCGCTTTTGTTGCATAGATGGTGAATGCAGGAACCAGTAATGCTCTTTACCTACCTAGCAGCATATGGAGATATTACACATGGTACCTTGCCGATTCGTCAGTATTTTGTCACTGCCATGTAGCCAAGCAATGTCACAAAACATGACAAATCAAATAGTTATTATTACTACCATTAATTAGGAGTAAGTACAAAATCAGAAAACAAAACTGCAAGCCAAAATCTCCAAGAATTGTCTGTGTAATTTCAAATGCAGAGTAGAGAAAAACACTAGTATATATTATGGTTATCTGCGAACTTGCAGCTGCATTGAGTGATATCTTAACAGCTCCTAAGTAGAGATATGCTAGCCAAGCAGTGGTTTGTTGAATGTCCTTGACACGTAATGCAAAAAAAATGGACATTGAGTTTGTATAATCAACCAAGGGAGAAAGGAAAGCCCTAAAACACAACGTGACAAAATTGAATAGAATGAAACAGGAATAACTAGTCCAGAGTGAATTATTTATTTGCCAAGTCATTCATGCATGGCCATCCGTTCATCACCAGCACCATTGTGTGAGAACAACTGTTGTCCTTCCCCAAACTTCTAAAGGATTCAACAAGAATTAATTATGCAAAATAATATATTTTTTTCTGCACCATCTAATAAGATTTAATTGCAAACTTTTTGGTGAAAGATATTTGAAGCTTATGGATGAAACAGATACGTATATTGGTTAAAAGATATAATGTGAGCAGCTGGTGTACTGCCTATACATGTGTCGTCTGTCCACCAACAGGACATGCGATTGAAACAACAAAGTGGACTCGAAAAGACTCTGAGTTCCCAGTTCATCCAAATACTCTGGCCTGTATTTGCTCTTCTTGGCACCATGCTTGTGCAATCCATAGATTGTCTAGTGCTATTGTTCTACCCATGGTAGTTTTACAACACGTGCTTTTCGTGCTGGGTTCCGTACTGCCCCAAAACTGAACCATAGTCACAAGGTCCCTGGTTCGACGGGGTCGAAAAATGGTCAAGGAATTAATAGAACCATGCTTGGTATGATTCCAGCTGATTTCCACCGAGGGTTGAAAAATAGAGTCAATATGTCATCCTTCTGCCTTCTTTTCTAAGTCTTTCCTCAATCACTGGTGAGTCAGACCCTCAGTAAGGAAGTGAGCTGCAGGCTTGGCTGTATGTGCCGGCTCCTCCTTCACCAGGCCTATGTGTGGCTTATCCAAATTAATTACTCAATGAAATAGACCATATAACATGGCCACTTAACCAGGGTTAGCTGTATGCAATTTGAAGGTGGCACACATGCTAAGATCTGCTTGTTCATGTACAACGGAAAAAGACATATAATCAGCACCGTGGCACCAATAACATATGTAACAAGCAGCCGTACTTCCCCATGCTTCTCACGCCTATGCTTGTTGCTCTCTCTCTCCCTCTCTCCCTCTCCCTCTCCCTCTGCCTCACTCTCTTCTATCGTTCTGATAATACAAGTAAAATATTTGGTACTAAGCAAGAAACAAATATATAACTTCAGTCTCTGCTGCTACTATTGTTGTCTCTTCAGGCTCTGTTGCCTGGAACAAACCAGATCAATGTTGTCTACCTAACCAAGGACGACTTGTCAGGTTACACATTATCACTTATTATACTATATTACTCAGGATCAGTTTCTGCTCCAAATCCTGCAATCATAAAAGACAAATGATGCTTTTGATTCATATGTACTATAGTTAATTAATCCCGACTAGCCTCATGAATATGCATGACAGGAAATCTCAGAACATTGAATCAAAATATTATCTCAGACCATGAAAAATAGCAAGAAAAAAAACATCATGGCTTTCAAAGCATTAAATATGAAATCACTTCTCATGTGGCAAGCAATTGCGGCTGATATGGCCCTATAGTTAATGAACAGAGAGTGGAAAAGTAGAAGAAATCATTTCTCATGTGGCAAACCATTGTGGGTGTCCTTCCAAAGACTAGAAATGAGCATATCGACGTTGTTCCAGGGTATGTTTCCAGTGGTGAGGCTCACCCATCATGTCTATCGTCCACACTCGCGATGCCCTCAGTATAGCTTACCGTGCATGTCGCATCTGTGTGATGTCGCGCGTTATGCCGCCTTGCTGGACCCTGCCTCAGTCACACCAGCCGGTTCTGGTGTGCCAATAGTCAGTCGCGTGATCAAACCGGCAGCTCGGCTACCATGTCGCCCGTGCTTGCGACCCGCGCAAGGCAGCCTGCCCGCACTTGCCGTATGCCCCTGGCCTCCCTCGACGTTAGTGCCAGACCACCTTGCCATCTGCATGCGGCTGCCCTCGTCATGTGCGGTGCACTTGTCGGTGACGCTTGCCAGGCCCTCACATCCCATACACCGCCGTCATTGCTAACCATGCACAACCTTGCCACATTCACTACGTAGAAAAACGTTTTTAGGGGCGGTTGGTAACCGTTTGTAGGGGCGGTTTTGACAGCCGCCCCTATGAAAGGGTGGTTACAAATCATTCATTTATAGGGGCGGTTCCCAGACCGCCCCTACAAATCGATTTGTAGGGGCGGTTGGTACTGTAGCCGCCCCTACAAATCAATTTATAGAGGCGGTCTGGGAACACCAGCCGCCCCTACAAATCGATTTGTAGGGGCGGCTACAGTAACAACTGCCCCTACAAATCATTTTTCCGTAAAAAAAATTAAATTTACAATTCAAATTCGACCAGAACATATATTTTTCATCATGACTTATCTTCTTCTGCGATTGTACTGAAACTCAATGACAACACATATTTATTTATACCAGATTATAACAAATATTCCATGACATGTCTTCCAAATGTGAATTGTAGTAATACATATCAAATCAAATATAAAAAAATATCAAGTCAACTAAAAAATGCTAACTAGTATGCTCAATGCCTTTATCATAGATAACAGCACAATCAGGAAACCCAAATTTATGTCCCGGAAAAAAGAAACTTCTGAAATATTCACCTTGTGAACACTTCTAAACGCAAGCTGCACAGATACCAAGTATCGGAAGGAACAAATGACAGATGGTTTCGCTTAAAAAAACAAACAAATGACAGATGGAAATGCATGTAAACCATTGCCACATGCATTGTACCCTGTGTAGCCCATCTCTCTTCCTCTACAAGTCAACAGGTTTTCTCCCATTCCTGAGCAATAATCCCACACTTGCTTTCGGCATCTACACCACAAAAAAAAGGTATAAGAATTTCGTTGAAAATGGGCAAGCAGGATGCTGTGAGTTGTGAAAGTATGGCAGGTGCCAATGCGAACAAACATGCTTCCATGATCAGCTCAATGTGATATCCGATCCATTGCTTTCTAGTTCCTATAACTAGTATATTATGTTTCACAAAGAATAAAGAATTATCTTTGCACCCATGAGTATTTCCAATATATAAGAAAAAAAATAGTGATGGCATAGTTAATCTGAAGCATTAGCTGAATCAAAACGGAAAAGAGACTAGCATGATAAGCTCTGCAAAACAAGTAGCATTCATGTTCTATTTTTGCAAGAAATACAATCACTTGTGCATAAGTTATAACAGAAAAAGGAGCACTCCAACACTGGATACTGACCTGACCATGCAGGCTATTGATAATCTTCCACTTTGTCAGCGATGCATGTGGAGTGGATTCAGTGATACAGCAAATCATTCGAATAGAAGGTAGCCAATTAATCTGTGAATCCAAATAAAAATACTTTATACTTACCAATCTGGAAAAAAAATACTGAAATCAAGCTTCAGTGACCATGCAGGCTTTAGTTGTATTCATATGAGATAATACTGAAATGCATGTGCTAGCTTCTGGAAAGAAATGATTACCACTTCTAGCTCGAAATCAATTTGCCATATTTTCTGGTAATCTCATATGAATTCAAAATTAAAAATTATCAATCCTAAAGACAAGTGACACATTCCAACACAAAGCACTAGCCAGTTGACCTACTAATAACGAAACAAACAGGAACAACCTCTCGAGGTAGGTTCATCTCATCAGGAAACATTTGCACCGCCTCTGTGGTGGAAGTCGAGATGTAGCACTGGCAGGTTCATCTCATCAATCAGCGCCATGGATGCGAGGGCAGGAATCTGCAAGGGAGGCAATGGCCCCTCCACAAGGTCGCCTCAACTTTAATCTCCACAGCTCCGGGAGATCGGTGGAGAGCTCCTCAACATCCGCTCCTTTAGCCATACGACTTTGCAAAACAAAACCAAACAAAATAGCCAGTAACCCACCCCATCGCCACATTTGGCATGCACAATCTACTCCAATTATCTTTAGCATCCAACACAATATGCAAATTAAAGTTGTATACAATAACAAGCTATATCAATTAAACACAGTACCGGCGTTTCTTTTTTTTTTTCCGGCGGCAGTGTCATACAGCGAAGATCCTCCTTGCTTTCTTCCGGCGGCAGCGGCACGGCAATGTAGTACTCAGGAAAGATTGACGGTCTGCTCAATTGTTCCATTTCCTGAGATCAGACAGTGTAACAGCATTAGCATTCAGAATTTCAATGAACTGGTTCTTTTAATTGATATATATATTACAGTACTTACTTACCCTGCACCAAGCGCCAAAATAATGTGCTGCTCTGCAGAGATGGCATCTCAGCCCACCGCATAAAGCTTTCCGCTATGGAGCCAACGCCAGAGATCACACAACCAGAATTTTCAGGAAGTAAAAGGAAGATGATGAGTGGTCAGTGATTGTATCTGTACAGACTTACTTGTACCTCCTCGTTATTCATCTACCTAAGTTGTTCATACGATTTAACAAAGGACTAACAAAATCTAGATGACAATTCCTTTTCAGATATCGATAGATCCTCTGTAACTGCCGTCAGGTCATTTTTTTAGAAAGACAGAAAGAGCTTTGCTGAGATTTTATTAGACGATGTAAAGGAAAATAACAGGATAAACAGAGAAAACAAGGAGTAGAAACTCCGAGCTACTACGGCGCGCAGGCCTGACCGTCAGATTATTTTCACCTAATGACTAATGTTGACTGTCTCCCACAGACCCGTGCAGTGGTAATAGTAGTGTATATAATCCTATGATATCTTGCAGTTATGAGAAATGAAGTGATACGAGCTAAATGCAAATCTTTTAGCTTTAGCACATCTTCTTCCCTCCTTTTCGTTATATTACGGACCAACCACGCCTTCAGTTTATATCTGAAGGCACCTTACCTTGTGCAATGATGATGCAGAGTGGATGAGGCACGCCATCTTCAGACTTGACACTGTAAGCGGCTTGAAGTCGAGCCCCCTTGTTGAGGAAATACGTCCTTTGCTGCACGATACAAACAAGACAAACTATTCAGGCGAGATATACAGAGCCGGTTGCTGTTCGTTTGGTTGCAGACGTTCTGGTGAAATCTTTTGCTGGAAGCCTGCAGGTACTCTGAACGCGCAGAACAACCTGAAGTCCAGAGCCTAACAGGCGCGCGACAATCAGATCCAGAGACGAACGACGACGACACAACGCGGCGTTACCCTGTGAGAGTTGGCGGGCACGACGACGCGACGGGCCTCCGGCCACTCCGTCGGCACGTCCAGCGGCGGAGCCACAGGCAGCCCGTGGAGCACCAGATCGCCGCCGCTCCCTTGTGACCCTGCATCCACGCTGACCTGAAAACGCACAAAGCGCACACGCTAAACAAACTTCTGCTTACCTCCAGGCTTGTTCTCGTCGGATCTGGGCTGGTCCTCGCCGGATCTGGTGGTGGCCGCTGGAGAGGGAGGGTCACCGCGTGGGGGAGAGGGAGGGGCGGCGTGGGGGATAGACGGAGGAGGGCTCGGAGGAGAGGGAGGGACAACGAACGAGGGAGAGAGAGAGAGGGAGGGGAAGGAAGAGTCTGAGACGGAGAGAGAGAGAGAGAGAGGAGGACAGACGATATTTTTGTGTACGTCGGGCATTTGTAGGGTGGTTCAATCACCAGCCGCCCCTACAAATATTAACACTAGGGGCGGTTGGTGAGTGAACCGCCCCTACAAATCAGATCCATTTGTAGGGGCGGCTCGTATCACTAGCCGTCCCTGCTGTTTTATTTGTAGGGGCGGCTGGTCTTTGGGTTCCTCAGTACGTTACTGTAGGGGCGGCTCCATTACTAGCCGTCTCTACAAAAAATTTGTTTCGTTGCTACAAACCGTTTTTCACGTAGTGATTTCTCCACAGCAACACGCCCTGGCCACTCCATCTCGCCTTTCGCCTGCTGTTCCATGCCCATGGCCTCACACAGCCACACAGCAGGAATGGAGCTTTGAACCACAACAATGGCTATGACAGATTAATTAGTGCAACATATGGAACCAGAAGCAAATAAAAGGGACTGTTATTGATTTTGTAATCTCTGCCATGAAAGGCAAATGGATGGAGAAGCAATAATGAAGATATATAGTAATTGGCAGTTTGGTTATTTGGATCTGGGTGACAATGAAAGCACATATAGATGTTGAATAGAAGGTTTCCTTGCATCTCCTGTTGCGGTATAGAAACCACCTGAATTCATTGGTTGGCATGCAGCTATGAAGGTTCTTGTTCGTTCCACATCTCGCTACAGGAGGATGATCCAAGTTGTCCATACCTCGCTACAGGAGGATGGTCCAAGTTGTCCTTGTTCATGGTCGTTGATTGGCTTTCAGCGATTTTGAATCAAGACTGTTTGCACATAAATTAGTCTGGTTTGGATAATCATGTATGGGTTGAGGGCTGGTTTCAAAGGTGTGTTTGCTTTGTTTGCTTGATTTCCAAACCAAACAAAGCTAGCCTTGCCAGGCGAACCAAATTGTCTCCTCCAAGCTAGCAAGCAAAAACCTTGCCTGCACGAGAACAAAGAAAGCAAACCTTGCTTTCAACAATTTCTTTAACCATTACTCTCCTAATTGTCCCTCCATTAAGCTTAGTGCTCCTGCACTCTCTTGCAGCACTGCCTTCCAAGGCTATAGGACGACAGGACCTGTCATGGACAAAGTTATTTCCCAGTGCTTCCTAAGTCCATGGCCATTGCTCTCTGAAACATAATGTGTAGTGCAACCCATTGCTGTTGTGGTTTTATTGTGCTGCACACATGACTTTCTTCCACGGTCCAAATAAACTAATGTTTTGTACATACCTCACTTGATCTTCACGTTGCCTATGTCCTATGCATCCTTTCATCTGAATGTACTAAATACCATATATACTAGCAAACAACTTCAGGTCATTTGATCATGTTGTCAATCAACCACCAAACACTAGTACAGAATCGATTTTTACTGATGCTAGCGATTCTCTTCACACAAGTTAATAACGAGCAAGCACCAGTAGAAACAAATATGTTGGCCCGAGCTAAAAACCGCCAGAGTAAATTGATTTACACTAGTGGTTTTGTTAGGACAACCGCCAGTGTAAATGACATACTGGCTATTGACTTAAGTGAACCACTAGTGTAAATAGCGTATTTACATTGGCGGTTCACTTAAGTCAATCGCCAGTGTCTCTGTTTTACATTGGCGGTTGACTTAATCAGCTGCCAGTATAAAATCAGCTATAAATACTACTTCTTCCTCCCTGACTGGAACCATTGGCGGCGAACTTAGAGGTCCAAAAATTGCAAAATACAAGGGGGGAGGTTTTGCTCTTTATTTCTTTATTTGAAGGACGCCACTCAGGTTAGCTAATGCTTCTCGTATCTGTTTTTGCATGTGTCCTTCTCAATTTGAGGCAAAATTAGACCTAGGGTTTCATGGTTGTGTTTGAGAGCAAGAGAAAGAATGGTATTGATTTTAGATCTAGGGTTTCATGATTGTCTCAAAAAATTTAGATTAGTAGGCTTATTATGCTTCTTCTCATCATATACATATCTCTTCAATCATTTTATAATACTTTTCCACTGGCAATTGTCATAACCCAATTACCAGTGTAAATGGATACACTGGCAGTTGACCTAAGCAAACCGCTAGTGTAAACCAATTTACACAGGCCGATAGGTGGTTCTCTAGAAGACGTCGATGAAGTTCGCAATTTTTACTGGCCTTTCACACTTGTGGAATCCAGAAACACAAGTGAAATAGGTTTAGAACCGCCTGTACTAATATTCTATGTACTAGTGTAAATCACATATAGCCCTTGCTAGGTGTGATTTTACTTACATTGGCATTCTTCTTGATGGCAGCAGAAACATTATTCAAAAGCTGAACCAAGCATAGGATTATTATTGAAACCAACACTGTAACATGGGAAGAAAGCACACGCACTTGATAAGCTTTGCAAGCAGATCTTAACAACTTCAACTAAACTCATAAAGGTGTGCATTTCTCTATGTACTAAGTAGTGGGAGAACAAGAATTTTTGTATGGCAATGTCCTATTTGCTTTTGGAGTCAATTACCTACATGCCACCAAAAAAGGTTTCAAATTATGGATCTACCATGGTTGAACTTGTGAAGCCTAGTGAGCCATTATCTCATTTTTTTGCGTCTCTCAGCTCTTTGTCTATTTTTATTGGAATGGTGACAAAATTTTACTACGTAAACGAAAAACAAAATTTTTATTTTTATTTTGTGCTTTGATTCAGTATGCATAATATCTGAATTTGCTTGCTTTCCTCTAGTTCTATAGATTGTAGATTCAAATTTTGTCCACTCCAACATAGCGACGGTGAGACGCTCGATTACTATAGTGTGCGGACGCTGTACACTGCCCGATTGGACCTTGAGCCACAGCATGGCTTCTTGATCTCTGTGCACGTACTTCCTCATGCTAGACACTCATATGCAAACACAGCAATGTTGATCTGCCACGACTTGATGTCGAACACCCATGGTGCTGAGCACATCCACCGCGGCTTGACGATGTGATGTGTCTTGATCCACAGGTCCTTGTCAGATGGAGACATCTGCACAAAGACCATTGCAGGGCCCTTGTGATCCATCAGGTAGTTCAGGCACATCATCAAGTCACTCCTGGCAAAGTATGGGCACCGCATCACTGCTTCATATATCCCTGGTGCTGCCTCAGAGTGATTTCCCTCACTTATAGCTGCACTCAATCCCCAGACAGCATCTGTCATTCCAGTTAACAGGGCTGCATCCACTTCACTGAGTACCCACTTCCTCTTGCCGAGCTTCTTGTCAGCATGCTTCTCCTTGTGTGCAGGCCCATCATCCTTGCTTGGAACAGGTGCATTAGTGTCCCGGTCAATGGTATCTTGTTCAGATGGCTGGCCTAGAGCTTCATTGTTTCCCATTGCAAATCTTCCAGTTGCAACACCATAACCGAACATGGTCTGCATGAACTGGTAGTTGACAATTGGCACGTTGAGGAATTCTGCATCCTTGGCGTGATCCTGAACAAGTGGGAACAAACAGTTAGGAACAACTGAAGTAATAGTTAGGAACAACTGAAGTTACAGTTAGGAACAATTGCAGTTACAGTTAGGAACAACTGAAGTAACAGTTAATGGATGCAACTTCTAAACAGAACTGATGGTACCTTAACATGGCCATGGTATTGCTCAGGATCCAGCGTTATCATGCAGAGGTCTTCATGCCAGTTTGCACCACTCAGCTCCTTCAGCCTGCACACTTTAACCCATTTAGTATGCCACTTGCACAGATGGTTGTACACCTGTGTCGCAGTGACTGGTTGCATGATGAACACCTGCAGATCCTTGGCAACAGCATTCACTTGGAGGATACAGCAGACTAATACCAGCTTGACTTGGCTCTTGTATGGGTGAAATGGCTTGTTGTCTAATATCCTGAACCTACTCTTCAGAGCCCCGAATGCCCTTTCAACTGTAACCCTCAGGGAAGAATTAAAAAATGGCTTTGCCGAGTGCGCGCCGCCGTGGCACTCGGGAAAGAGTTTAAAAAAAAATGTCTTTGCCGAGTGCCTTGCCGCCGCGGCACTCGGCAAAGAGTTTTTGAAAAAAAAAATGTCTTTGCCGAGTGCCCTAACTGTCGGCACTCGGCAAAGGCGCCGTCAACAGAGCAGCGCCGTTGATGGCTGCTTTTCTTTGCCGAGTGTCGCCGTTGGCACTCGGAAAAGGCTTTGCCGAGTGCCCAACAAATGGCCCTCGGCAAAGAGCCTCTTTGCCGTTAAATTTTTTTCCGAGGGCTCTTTGCCGAGGACGGCGCTCGGCAAAGCCTTTGCCGAGGGCTTTTGGGCCTTTGCCGAGTGCCCTGGGCCCTCGGCAAAGAGGGCGCCTCCAGTAGTGTATATCTCAAAGGCTAAATGATGATGGTAGTATATTTTCTAATAACTGAATCATGGGCATAATGAAGTTTCTCAGTGAGCCAACACACACCCAAAGCTTCATTCTTCTGTGAAGCCAAAGGATAACAACATGATGTCCTCGCAAAAAAAAAATAGCATCGCTGTGGAGCCTTCACCGTAGATATTGCAACTTCGGTGAAGGAGAACTTGGGTCCATCATCCGCCCATCTTCTCCATGGGAACACTGTGTTTATGCATGGAGCATGTCATCTAGGTTTTAGACTATAGCATCCATAACTAGAAAAAAATCATCACTTTGGAGCCGCACCTAAATGATTGGAGGGAGGGGAGGCACCATAGCCGAGTAGAGGGTGGTTAGGGTTTGGCAGTTGAAAGAGAGAGGATGAGTTTTTATATACAACACGTATGGCTTACCATTAGACATATATTTGTTTACTTCGTCTTCTTCTATTTTTTCTCATTAACCAAGGATAATAATCAACTTAATTAAAATGTTTTATTTGCAAATCCGTGGACATATTCACTTGCTTGCATCGCTAGCACAATTGTTTGCATCCATATATTTACAAATCCTGACAAGTTGATCCACGGTTTGTGTTCTTTTATACTGCTCTGCGCGGCCAAATCATGTCATCATATTTTGGCAGGACAGAGACACACATAGACATTAGTCTTCCCTAGGGTACCCCGAATAGTAATTAATGCTGAGCAGTATAACACAGGCCAGCTATAAGTAGAGTCACATTATTACTCCGTGGTAGTATTATTCCAGCTACATGAATATTGGCTCTATTGGATGCCGAAGTAAACTCAGGCTCCATCAAGGTAGCATCACGTGTACCATGTGTAGCTCAACGTGTCCCAAGTCCTATCATGCCCAAACTGATGCACTAACTGTTTTGGATCAAAAATGTTGGTGGTGAAAAGCCAAGAGGCAACAGCACATTGGTGGCGACTAAAGGATGGAACAAACAGCCAGCAGCACAATGGTGGTGGAAAGAAGAAATATGGTAGAATTAGCTCACCATTTCCAGGGTATTTATACACATCGAGAGGGTACTCAAAGACAGACCTACCCCTAATAAGAGCAGCACACGATAGTCTTAGGCCATTTATAGCCCTGACTGGAGGGGTAATTACAATCATTTTGCTGGAGAGAAGTAGTCATCAGCTGCTGCCATTCATTCATTCAACACCTTATACCGTCATTGTTAGGCCCTACAGTACTACATTTTTAGTTTCATCCTTAATTTAGTTTGTTTCCTCATACATGTGTCAATAGCTAACATGAATATTCTGGCATAGGACAGTCATATTACGATTTTTGAAGTATAGCTCATTAACTCGTGTGCCTATCACTTGAAGTAATGCTTGTGCCTAACTTTAATACTGTATGAGGGAGTACTGCTAATTACTTGGGAAACACATCACTAAAAGTCTAGAAGGTTACTGATTACAGTACTATGTAAGCAGGCCAATTAAAATTATTTTGATAAAGACGTGGCCGGGTGAGTCTTGTCCTTATCTGAGCCAACGCTTGGTAGCTTCAGTGAACAATCATCTCAAAGTTTGGTCACTGCAGAGTTGCACAGGCACCGAGGCGGCCTGCTTGTTCCAGTACCCAAACATCATTCCGGACACCTGGAAATAAACCACTGATCCATTTACAGATACAAAGCACACACAGTATCTATTATTTCCTATGCTTCCTAGTCCTGTGGGAGTGCGCCATTCGGGAGTTTTTTTCCTTTACCTAGGTGCAGCAACTGAGAAGGAAGTGTGCCTTCTTTTTGCCAAGGTTAGGGGATTTCTGAGTTTTCTTTTCTTTTCTTAGATTAGTTTATTAATTCATAAAATCCAAAAAATCAATGGCTTAGATCTGTTTGAGCTATTACCTCCTGCTAGGTAAGCGGAATACCTAGGATTGCCCCAAAAATAAATTGATAGATGTGTTCCAAAGTTCCCAATTGAGCAGCTTCATACTACAATTTCTAATCCAGCTTATTCTCCCAAGGCTATATATATGGCAGCTTCACTGTTCATTTGTCTCACTATGGGAACGTCGACCACGCAAGCCATGACAAGGGCCAAGGGACAACCACCAATCACCAATTACATGCGGACACCACCGAACAACATACTTGTCGGGTATACGACAGCCATTCACTCCTCGTCGCTATGCTGCTTCATTGGTGCCGTCCGTCTAAGGGTCTGCTCAACAGAATGGGGGATTAGAGGTGCCAAGAGACGCACTAAAAGGGAGCTCACCGGACATGATGATCTCCCATAGAGCTGGTGTCATCACAAATTGCAGCACACCACAACGCTACCTATCAGTATACACATTGTTCCGCATGCTTCACTACCCTAGATCAGGACAATACTGCTGGTTCAAAACACCCCATCACTGTCGGATATTGAACCGACACAATCATACCGGCAGTGATGAGGGTTAGCTATCATTGTTGGTTCCTACAAACCGGTAGTGTTCTGCAACTTCACTGTTGGTCCTTTACACTACGTAGAAAAAAGTTTTTAGGGGCGGCTGGTAAACCTCTGTAGGGGCGGTTTTGCTAGCCACCCCTATGAAAGGGTGACTACAAATCATGCATTTGTAGGGGCGGTTGGTACTGTAGCCGCCCCTATAAATCGATTTATATGGGTGGTCTGGGAACACCAGCCGCCCTTACAAATCGATTTGTAGGGGCAGCTACAGTACCAACCGCCCCTACAAATCATTTTTCCGCAAAAAAAAATTCAAATTTATAATTCAAATTCGACCAGAACATATATTTTTCATGCACAACTCCATCATGACTTATCTTCTTCTACGATTGTACTGAAACTCAATGACAATACACAAGCATGGAATGGAATTCACTTGGAAGATAATCAAAAGTCTAAGACATGCCTAAGAACAATAAAAGCCATCTGATGGACTAACTACTGATGGACTAACTACTAAGAACTAGAATCACCAGAATAAGTTGACTAAGTGTTAAAGAACTAATAAGCTCCTTGGAACTGCCAACAGTAATGTTTTCTCGGCTTTCATAAATATATACGCAGATGAAGTTGAACATACATGAAAAAACAATCAAAGAATGTTAATGTAATGTGGCATGCACTGCAAAATAAAGGTGTAGGCATGTAGGATTCAGATGAGTAGCCTCAAATGCAGCAAAGCAAAGG